ATCCGCCTTATCTCAAGCCAACGAATACACCCCCGTCTCGGGGCCACAACATCCCCTGTTCCTCCTCCAAACACCGTGTTAGCAAGACGTACCCGCAATAGACCAGGGTCTCGGGGGAGAGGCTGGCAACGCGGCCCATAAGCGCCTCCACCATCTGCGCGCCGTCGCCTTCGAAAAACCGGCCGCAGCCTCCCACGAACAATGTGTCGCCCGAGAAAAGGACAGGGGCCGTCGGGCTCGTCCCCGGCCCTGCCTCGTCCTGTGGCGTCACGAGAAACAGCACGTGGCCTTTGGTGTGGCAGGGTGTGTAGAGAGCACGCACGCTCAGGGATCCAAGCGTGTAGACATCGTCGTCGCCCAAGCGGATGGTGGCGGCAGGGATGTCCTCAAACTTGGTCGTCACCACCTCCAAACCGGGCAGCATGCGCGCCATTTCTTCGTTGCCGCCTGCGTGATCCCAGTGTTTGTGCGTGCAAAGGAGGGTGGACAGCTTAATGCCTTCGCGTTGGGCGGCCGCCAGGACCTTCGCTGGCTCGGCAGGATCGACACACGCAGCTTTTCCGGTTTGAGGGTCCACAACCAAGTAAGCAAAATTGTCGCTGAGAATAGGAACGGGGATGACGCGGGCGCAAGGGGGCAGGGCGGGAGTGGTGGAGCATGAGGAGGCCGGGGTGGAGGAGGTTCCGGCTGCCGCGAGCGTCCCCATGCCTGTCACTATCAGGCCGGTCAAGCCGGGCCGGTGAAAGGGGAAGCGTTGTAACGATCGCAATGGACTACGCTTAATAGAGCCGGACAAAATTTGTCCTACGAGAAAGTGGGGTGGTTGCGTCAAAATCAGAAAATATATGACCTTCCGGATTAACCTCCCCATGCCTGTCGTCTCACATGCAGGGTCATCAAAGAACGTACCACTGTGCAGCAATGGACGGAGCGACGATAACATGGGTGGGTTGACGAAGCTTGATCGACCGTATGATGGTCTTGAATCGTAATATTTGACGCCAAAGGGATATGTCCTCGTAAGTAAGACGGCGGCGCCAAGGGCTTGGTACAGCAAAAAAGATCCTGTGAGGACGACAAAGAGAGCTCGAGATGGTGCGTATACCAGCAACGGCCGATCGTGCATGCCTAGTGTGTGTGTAATCAGACAATGATTAAAAAAGGTTGTCTTAATGGAAAGTGACACGGGCATTAGTATTATTCTGGTCCCGTGGTGTCGCCAGAGCTCGCCAAGACAAGCAGAGAGCTAGAGGAAAGTCAAAGAGGCTCTGTATGCCCATGTTTCATGTCATTTATGATTTAATGTCCTTATATTATGCCATAGACTGTAAAATGTCTGCACGAGCTGATCTGTGATTTTGTCAAACAGGGGAAGGGCAAGCAAGCTGCACTGGAAAAGGAAAGTGACAATTCCGGCAAAGCGCTCTCTGCTTTCACAGCATATACTACGACCTTGGACGCCTGAATGCGAAGTTGGGCAGGGCAATGGGACTTCCTCTTTCTGCTCTGTATCATAATTGTTCCCACGAGCCATGATCTTGTCGCAAGGGCCCTTTCGAATCACCCAAACCTCGCGACATGCCACCATGCTCGTCCTCGTCATCCCTCCCTTCTTCCTCGATCCCTCTGTGCATCTGCCACGCCATCGGCCCCCGCATCCTTCCAACTTTCTCGCGATGACGCGGCACTTGACGCCTTTCGACACTGGTTAAATGTGAAGGGAGGCATTGACTTAAGCGCCTCCTCTTTAGGGCTGCGTCGGTTGGCCCACGACGAGGAAAATTCTCCGGGAAATGCCGACCTGGAGCTCTTTACGACCCGCCCCATTGAAAAGGATCAGATCCTGCTGGCAATCCCTCCGTCCATCGTCCTCACGTCGGAATTGCCCTCTCCTGCGTTGCGCGACCTGGCCGGCGACGCGGCCCTGGACGATATGGGCCGCTTGGCCTTGCGCCTCCTCCATGAAGTCAGTCAGGCGGGTGCTGGCTCCTCTTTTCAACCACTCCTCTTCTCCCACGCAACCTGCTCCTCTTCTTTTCCTACCCTTCCACTGGACAACTCTGGCTGGTTGCCTTACGTGCGTGTACTTCCTTCCCGTAACCAGATGGATCTTCCTTTCTTGTGGGAGGAGGACGGGAGGGAGGGAGGGGGAGAGGATGAGGGAGAGGAAGATTCAAGTGGACGTGAAGATTCGCGCGACTCATTACTTGCTCTTTTGGCCCCTAGCCCCCTCTACGACGACATTGTGGCCCTGCGTGAAGAGATGCGAGGCGAGCTGGAAAGTCTTCGCAAAGCCGTGCTCGCCCACCGCACCCTTCCCACCTCCCCTACCCTCCTTTCCTGCTTGACCTGGGAAAATTGGTCCTGGGCTCGGGCCATCGCCATGTCTCGTCCCTACGTCTTGAAAAGCCGGCCGAGCAGAAGTACCGAGGAGGCCGGACGCCCGGACTTTTTCGGCGACCCCGTGCTCCAACTCCTCCCCTTGCTCGACATGGCCAACCACGATGACGCCATACATTATGCCGTCCAGCCAGGGGATGGGGTCTTCACGTCCCGGGAGGAAGTGCAGCTGGTGGCGGACCGCGACTACCCGGAGGTAGGGGCGCCTTTTCTCTCATCCTACGGGCCCTTGTCTTCCGCGACCAAATTCTACTCCTTCGGGTTCTTGGACACGCTCTCCCTCCCTCCCTCCGCCCGTTCCTCCCCCCCTTCTTCCCCCTTTGCCTCCCGCGAGTCTCGAGAAGACGACATGCCTGGACCGGTGCCAGCTCAGGGCACTGCCCTCCTTGTTCTGAGCCTGGACGGTGAAGGCTGCACCGACGAAGGCAACCACAAAAGCGAAAAACACCGAATTTCCCCCGAGATGCCGGAGGCAGCGAAGGAGGAGATGACAAGGGAGGAACGAAGAGCACGAAATATCCTCGGGCGGAAACTCGACGTATTGAATTCGATGGGGCTCAAGGCTGAGGGACAACGGGTGGAGATATCGACGCGTACCTTGCTGACGAGAGGGCTGGGGTCAGAGAGGATGGCTGCAGTAGTCCGTCTGGAGGGCGGGGAGGAAGAGGGGGAGGGAGG